TTTACCACACGTTTCTTCAATTCGCGTCGTAAACATAATTTTCAACCCTTTACGATCGCGTGGAGATGGAATTCCTATAGTTCCCAAATCAATTTCTTCCCACACATCGTCCAATACTACAAGAATGCTCTTGTTGGTACCTTCGAGTCTTTGACGAAGTCGTCCAGCTCTCACGCTTTCATCTGTCTTTTCTTTAATTTCTAGACCAAGGACATCGGCAAGTTGATCTTGAATTTTCTTTATGTCTGGATTGTTCGATATAACTACAAATGCAACCTCCTCAAATAATTTCTCATCTTTGACTTCATTGACTATTTCCTTTGCCATTGTTGTCTTACCAACTCCAGGCATGCCACAGATCCCAATTATGCTAATATCTTCGTCCTTTAGAGCTTCCTTGATTTTCTTCTTAATTGATAACCTTGTTTCGAAACCCTTATGGTGAGTTAGGTTCAACGTTTGCATCGGCGGTCGAGGATTGCTCACCCTCTCAAATGTTCCTTCCACTTTAAGCTTATCAGCCTCAATAGTCTTCTTTGTGGCTCTTCTACTTGATAAGTAACGAGACTTCAAATTTGGACACCTATTATATAGACACCGCAATTCAGAACATTCTGCGCCATTCAAAACTTCGTCTGCTTTTTCCTTTAAGGCATCAACCTTTAGTAACCAAGCGGAAACTTCTTTCCTGATGATTCGAGCATTTTGTTCAGCAGCATCAACCTCTCGTTTCACGTCATCTCTCCTATCTTCAAGATCTTTAACTTTGTCCTTCAAATTCTGAATGTTTCTGTTGTAGAAGAACAAGTACTTGATTTGGCGCAAAATTGGATCGACTGTGTATTCTGCAAGCTTGCCCTCTGCCATTATTGAATTTTTTTCCTTTTTCTCCTACCTTTTACTTTCGATGAGTTTAATGAAATTGCAGATTATTTCCTCAAATTCTTTCGCTGATTATCTCTGTAGAGTTATTGAGAAAATAACAATAAGAGAACAGCTATAATTGTAAATTTTAGCATTCTCTACGGTAAATTAAATGAGAAAACAGTGACAAGGGAAGTTGCATCTATTCGTTATCAATGCACAACCCATTGTTTTGCAATCAAACTATCGAATCACAAACTGGTAGCCCATAAATCAATATATAATTTTATAGATTTTCATTTGACTTTAACATACTTTTATTGGAAATAATAAATATTTATATGAAATGTCTATACAAATTATTTCAAATATTTTGTTTTATTGAAATTATTTATTTTTGAAGTACAATGTGTTACTATTTCAAATACTTGCATGATAAATGATTCAGAAAACATATAATACTTCTTGAAAATATTAGTAATCTCAATTCGAAAAATAAATAAGAAAAGTAAGAAAGGCATCAATACTCGTCGATAAAAGAAAAAAATAAGTTTTTCACTACGCAAAAAAAAAAAAAATGAAGAAGAAGAAGAAAAAGAAGAAGCAAAAAAGACCAGGGGATAAAATTTAAAAATATACAGTACAAAAAATTAATAGTTATCACGACATAAGCTTGTAGAAACTTATTTTTTGAAAGTTATTAAACAAACAATAAACCAATATAAAAGAATTTAATTACAAATCAATCTACTTTTTTAATAAAATCTTAAAAGAATTTAAATCACAAATACATCTTTTTGAAAGAAAATTGAGAGAAACAATGAAAAGGAATAGAGAGAAAAAAATAAATATAAAAAGAAGACTGTTGAGGAAATAATGATATTCTTTTTAATTATAAATTTTGATAATTAATCATAGTTATAGGAGTTCGTGAAACAATAGACTGCCGAGAATATTAAAGAGAGAGTTTTTTCTTTCTTTCTTTTGTGAAAGTCTTTCAAAATCTCTTAAAGTGGAAAAAAAGAAAAAGAAAAAAACAAACTGTAAGATCTTTTCTTTGAATTTTTTACATCAAAATTAGTAAGTGGAGAATTTTGTTAATGTTGTTAGAAGTTATTAATATTTTGAATGCCCTGTGATTTAAGGACTTTAAAGTCTTAATTTAATACTTCATTATTTTTAAAAAATTTTAAAAAATCTATGAAAAACTACATTAAATATTTTAAGTATTTAAAAGTCTCAATCTTCTTGTATCCTTTGGCTATATGTTCTTGGTGCATTTTAGTGCTGATCGGATCACTATCTAGGATCAATAGGTACTTTATTTAGTACAGATAACAACAAGACGGGATGAGAATTAAAAGATCCCTATTTATAATCCCATTTAGTTATTTACCTATATATATTTTTTTTTGAAATGCAATTTAAATTGAAAAATATGAAAATAATAGTCAAAGTGGAAAATTGTTGTGTTCCATATTTATCATTCAAAAATCTGCTTTTGCGATGAAAGTAGGCCAAAAAATCTGTAAACTAAAAATGCATAATTAGAAAAAATCTAAGCAAATACAAATATATAAATTTAGAAAATTAATATACACGCACACACGTAACTATAGGTGACAATCATTAGGTTTAACATTTTATCCCTATATTTTTAATTTTTGGTCAACAATGCCCGTTTTCCATTCTTCATAATTCATATTAATTTATGCATTAAAATTTTTATTGTTTACATTTTTACTGTTATTATCTAGCAATAATTTACTTTTACATTCATTTCCTTTAAAAACATTAATTTAAATAGAAAATTAAATTTAAAAAAACTGAAAAGTCTGCATTATAAATTTATATAAATTTCCGGGGGAAATGTATTTTAGAATAATGATTTTTTTAATTTTTTTAATTTTTTAAAGAATGTATGGTTAAAAAATTGGAAAAAAAAAATTTGGGTTTAAGTGTAGAACTATTTTATGGGAGAATGTGAGATATATATAACTAATAAGTTTGCATTTATAGATTTGCATTACCTAAGTTAATATTTCATAATCCTTAAGTATGCGTTTTCCTTTATTTTTATACTTTTTATTCATTTTTAGATTGTATGTTTGGATTAATGAAATTTTTTTTGTACTTAATGATACTTTTTTTTTTAATCTCCCTTTTGAGTATCTTTATTGATTAGGGGTGAGAAGGAAAATAATTTGCGATTAAACATTTAGAGGCATAAAAATGCATTGAGAGTACCTTGTGTTCCGAGGATGCCAAATCACTCTAATAAAAAATACTGAAAAAAATTAATTAAATTGGAGTCTCTATAAGATGGAGTAAATATATAAAGGGTAAAAAGATTGAATAAACATATATAATTATGAAAAACCAGCTACCTTGTGATTCGAGGATGTCACACGCCCTATTGCAATAGCACAAGCTTTCCAATATGGTCGAATTATGTATATTAAGTGAGAAAATAAAATAGAGAATGAAAATTGGTAGTACTTTAATTATATATCTATCGCATAAGAAGGCAATCTCGTGAATAAGTGCAAATGCAAAAGTCTTTTTTGTTATGTTGATATGCTATAATCGAAATGAGACATAGTTTTATAGTACAATGTTTGACACTGTGGATAACTTGCTAATCAAATTACTCGATTCCTTTCGTACCACTTTGCTCGACAAAATCAAAAGCTAAGGATCAACTTTGCATCTAATTTGACAGCAAGCAAACAAATAATATAAACTAGGAACTTTAACAATATTCTTTTACACCTCAAGAGGATAGGAATAAAATGCTGTACAATTGAATCACTCAACCATCTAATGTGTTTTTTATTCGCATAGTATTTCTTTTTTTTCCCTCATAGTTACGACAATTAAACATTTGGAGAACCAGCTGGACAATTTGATGAGAAAATGATTCACCGGTCTTGATCCATTGTCACTCTAGTTTACAATAGAAATAAGTGAATAAGATGTTCGTTTATTTCCGTGGCTAAGTGAATATGTGCAATGAATTTAACCAATTAAGTAAACCTTCTTCTTCACAATCTTTAGTAACTGTTACACCTTGTCCTAAAAGATTCTTATTATTGGCCACATTGCAGCCAACTAGGAAACAACAAGAGTCCACCTAACACCGGCACTCTACAATAATTTTCTCACCTCATGTAGTCAAAGCCATCAACAAAGGAAGCAAAAGTGAACTAAATGCCCCTAGTTAGTGTGACGGTGGAGGCCAGACCTATATGTTCGAGGAGAAGTGTTATGATTTACCGGAACGTATTTTCGAAGCTAAGAGCCTTCAATTCATAAGGATCTTTCATAGATTTATCATATCCAAGAGATTTGTCCATACGATTGATTGATTTGACATCTCTACAACAAACAAATCTTAGTAAACTTTTATATAATAGGTTGGCTATTTTCTGGATAATTTAGTACCACATCAAATTAAGACGGTTGATGCCTATCACGTTGATGCTCAATCGTTAAGATGAGAACACATGTCATCCATCCAAAGATAACTACCTCTCTTTTATGAAGTGAATTCCTCTCATCCAACGGTAGTCACGCCACATAGAAGATTCCTCTAAATCCCTACATGATTAATTTAGAATAGTTATGGAGTGAATCGAATAATTTAGTTTGATCATGAATTCGGAGACTTTTGATCAAATATTTGTCACATATGATTTCTACGAATTTATTTCCAACAATTACTACAACAAATGTGCTGAATATTACATCATGTTCTCGAGCGTCACATTATCAAATTTTCAATTAAACAATAATTATGTAAGTATTTGAATTTAAAAAAAAAATCTCGTAGCACCATTACGAAGTCATATGTTGCATACTAGTTATTCAAAGTATAACCAATATAGTCATGTTATAGTTCAATGTTACTCATTTTCTGATTTTAAAGAGGAAAAAAAGAAAAATCGAACAGAGAGCAGTATGTCTTTTGACACGTACATGTTAACCACACACCAAAGAGATATAATTCTTAGATTATTTAATATCAAATAATGATGATGATAAAACTAAAATCTTCTTCTGGATAAAATTAGACAATATTACCCTTCATTCGTCAAACTTCATTTTCAAACGCACGTTTTCACAAATATTGTTCATTTACTTGCCCTCATTTTTCTTTAGTTAATAAAAATAAATTAAAATCTTATTCAAAACTTCATGTTATAATGTCCCGTATCGTGTACTCATTAAACACCCAACCAAATCCTAGTAGGTTTAACCGCAAATTCCAAGTCTTTCATTTAGTTTGGATCCAAATGGGATTTTAAATATTGTGTTTGTTGTCCTTTTCAAAGGCCGTAACCAATACTTCTGAGTTGGTACTTTGAGATTTCAGTTAATTTGATTTATATTTTTGAAAAAATCAAATTGCTTTGCAAGTGGACAATCATTTTATACAATTAAATAAATATAATTAATTGAACTAATCAACGAGGACGTATTCAAACTTTAGCTTGCATAGCCTTGGAAGATTCCAACCATTAGGGGTAGGGAATTAATAAGAGCGTGTTTGCCTAACTTTTATTTGCAAAAAGTAACATTATTTTAAAATATGTTTATGGTTATTTATAAATAAAAGTTTACTTATTGAAGGTAAAGTATGAGTTAACTTTAGAATAAGTAATTTATTGTCAACTCAGACCAACAGAGACCTTACGTCTTTACTTAAAAATAGATTTTTAAACTTAGCGAAACATGCACTTGAACGGAGAGAAAAATGGAGAAATTTCATTGGAGGTCACCTAACTCACACGTTTGTCCACGTTGGTCTTCCAACTTATATTTTTATTTTATTTTGACCATTTGTTTATAATTGCTCACATCCCGTTAGCAAAATAACAAATTCCACTAGTAAAGTCACGAGTTCTACCAATTTTAGTAATTGTTACAGAATAGCCAAATTATTGTCGAGAAAATTAGATTGAAGAGGGAAAAAAAAGTGGAAAATGGAAAGGGAAAAAAAC